AGGAGTACTAACCTCCAGAAGGAAGTGCTATTTTCCGATACATAATGCTGCAATGAATACATAACTAGCCGACTTTTTACATAATTTCGCTTGTACGACTTGCGCGGCGCATGTTTGTAAAGTGATATTAATATCATTTTCCCCCATGCTGAACCACAATTGATACATCCGGGAATTCTGGCTTACGCAATACTCATACACTTCAGGTCAACATAAACATTTTTCGGCGTAAATGGTAGGAGACAAGCACACTAACAAGCTGATTATTGAGAAATTACTTGCTTTACTTTGCTTGACCTGTGGCTTGGATATTATAATATCAGGATGTCGAATACAGTGGGAGCCAGTTTCATCCTGTGTGTTTTGATTTTCTCAACTTATTTGCATGTAAGTATCACTTGAACAGATAATTAGATTACGCCACTTATGGAAAGGATAACTAAATTACGCCGTTTTTTTCATCGTCAATATTTGCGGCATAAATGAGGGGCGATAAGGACACCAAGAAGGGCAATGGTTGGTAAGATACCAAAGAACACAAAACGGTACGAATTTTCCTTATCGCCCCCGAAATGAGGTCTGTAACGTAACTTTTTGTTTAAAACATAGACACCAATAGGGTAGCGTGGTGTATTCTGGGATAGTTTTGAGGGTATTTGAAGAGTTTGTCCTGGATTCGATGCGTTGTAAGACTTGCGCGCAAAATGGGCATTTAATTGTATACTGTAAAATAATATGCATTTTTCAATTCCAAAAATAAATGCCTGTCAAAATATAGAACCTCCTCCTGCAGGTTAGTACTCCTTTAATTGAAATACAGATAATCTGAATCCAAACAGTAACAATAAGATAAATGCATTGTAGTGCCTGTATTTCATGTAAATCTATTACATTCTAGTCCACTTAAGTCCTCTACTTCATTCAATGCATTTTATGCCTCTTGGACTAGATAGAACAAACAACAACAGATGTTAATGCTAAGGAATGTGTGTATTCTACATTGTGTGTCTGAAGATAAGGTTTTATATCTGAAGATGTGTAAGAAGATGTAAGGGTTGTGAGTTGTTGGTAACTGTGAGTTTGTGGCTCCCTCTTTGCCCCAGAAGGCCCATACGTTAAAACAGTTCTAATACAGAGTAACCATGCCTCTATGAGAGTTTCCCTAGTAAAAGAATGATGTAAACGTTGTAAGTAATGACAGTTGTTGAAGAGACTGAATTTCTACGCAAAGTCGATAGTGGTGTACAGAGTAATTTCAGTAACTAGAGGAAAGAACAATCAGTGGGCCTTGTACACTTGCCAAAGGCAGATGTAAAATTGCTGATGTATTGGCACAGTTGCAGAGATTAAAGTCCCAGTGTTTCTGTACGTGGTGTGGTCGTATCTCGTGTATTTGGTTGTAGCTGCTATTCTGAAGGAGACACCAGCTCCTAGATTAGAGGCGAGCTGGACCAACATCAAAGTATGGAAAAATGGTCTGTGCAAATTGCCTGTATGGAGTTAGCTGCACATAGGTAACTCGATGAGATGATTATAGTTTGGGGGTGGTGGGAAGGAAGCCAGGGGAGTACATGTTTTTAATATCTCAAGACGAATGTAAATGTGGCCGATTATTTGTATTTATTGTGTAAATAACACACGTTTTCTCTATGCAGATGTTTGTTTATTTATTAAGTTATTGAAACAATGATACGGACAGCAAAAATGGTGATATCCCTGTTAACGATAGTTGATAGGTGCGTGGTTGATACGCATACCTCGAAGCACAGTCTACAATCTTCATCTGCTTGCCCTGCTTGGGTCAATGTTGCGTTTAGCCTTATCTACCAATCAGGTAGATTTAACCAAGCCCCACATTCAAAGTCTATTTACATGTTCATATTTCAAAGTCTATTTACATGTACATATATGTACAGTGTTAGCAGGTGTGCCCGAAAATTTACATTGTCGTAGAACTAATCTCCAGGTAGCAGTGAAGTGTACACCGTAAACAATGAGGTTAAAGTGATGTCCGGCTTTGGCCGAAATGTAGTAGTAGTTGAGACCTACTTATAGTCGGCGTGGGATTTAGTATCAATGGGTACGTTTATTGGGGTGTGGACGGGAGTGTCTTTTTGATGCAGTGAATGTGTAAACGGCCAAATTGAGGCTCCTTTTTGGACTTTCTATTAAGGTAGATAACGCGTAGATAACGCGTATAACCCTATTGGATTTATAATCTTGTCAATCTTGGCAAATACCTGACTTGATATTTCTGATTTGTTAACTGCATACTTGAACATACTTGGTTTACGACGTATTGTTAATAAGCCAAGGTTATGATTTATATTTCACCATGTGCACAAACTAATGATAATCACCAGGCAACTGCTCAAGTCCACCCTCTGTGACGTAATTTATAACGTTGGCCTTGAGTATTTCTATGCCATAAAATGCTGAGATTTGCACGTACAGCAGAATGTAGGAGTTTTGCTCATTCCGAGCCTGCTGACCGCTGAAGAGGCCGCCATGTTACCGATACTGCCGTTCTGTGTCTTCGTCTGCTTTGCAGCTGCATCAGCTACAAGTAAGTAACAAACCTGTCGTACATTTTGACGTAGTCATTTCTGTTGCACGGACTTTCCTGTTCTGTACTGTTTGGGTGCAGAGAATTCTAGTTAACATTAAGGGGTTATACATCTAATAATAGTGGCGTCGAGTGGCTAGGGTTCGATTCTGCTGTTATTCCTGACAACAAAATCGGATAGAAAAACTCCTGCCCGTAGAGAATGGTCACCAGGCTAAATTTACATTGTACCTTCTTGCATATCTAATGACATTTGCAACGTTAATGTGAAGACAGACTATTGGTCTCGATTGGTCCATTTAAGTAAAGTAGACAACTATGAATATTTATAAGGGTCTTCCACATTATCTAATCCCCCATGCATATAATGCGTTGTTATGAATCAGCCTGTTGAATCTCACGGCCGCACTTTCATCCGCGCTTTGGATCAACTGAACGTCTCGATAAAAACATGAAGGTGATACAGATCTATTGGCTGGTCTGTGCCTGTTGCTTTTCCCGTGATAAATTTGGGGCAGAAGCCGTGACAGGAAGAACTGCTGAGCCTGAAAACCACCAGGATCCGCAGCAGCAGCAGCCTCCCCAAGCGCTACCTCCGGCCGATGAAGACGTGAAATGTCCCCCTCTGGGCAATTTCACCGCAGCGGAAGAAGGTGGAACACTGCCCGAGCAGCCAGCTTGGCCCGACTCCGGAATGGGCCATTTTGGAATTCCAGCGAACATCACACAGGAGGAACAGCAGAACGTCACACTTTCTGAAGAGGAGGGTGAGTGGCTGCGAGTTTTTCCATCATTTCTGTCGTTAGTTAGCATATTAGGCAGGAATTAGAAATTATCTTGTTTTAAAAATATGTGATTGTGGCTGTTCAGTTTCCAACACCAATTGTAATTTTGCTAACTTCATAATCATGAAAAATTATCAGAGTAGAAACCCCGATCTACCGGCAGAGATCTCGATTGGAGCCGGTAAATTTTAAGATATTCACCTGTAACTTACAGCGTAAGACATTCAGAATGGTCCAGTAGAATTGGTGATTGTACCAGATCGGCGATTCTACCAGATATTTGCTTAAAGGCATCAAATGCGATTGTTAGTTGGTAAAACTGGAAACATTTTAGATAAGCCAATCTGTATAATATTGACACATACTGCCTCACATTAGCACATTTGCATCAGATTTTCATATTTGGGGCATTTAAAACAGCACAGGTACAAGCTCCAAGATGATTCCTTTATTTTCAGGGTGGTAGCCAAAAATCATCCCAGGTTCCTAGTAACCGTTTTCCGCCACAATTTCAGCACTTTGGTCCCGTGAATGTCAATCAGGATAGTGGCGTTTCAACTTACTATGTAGATAAGAATATTGACTTTGAAAAATCTGTCTTTCATGCCGTAAATACTGCATAGGGCACCTTTAAAATAACTTTTCATCTAGGATTTGTGTCACATTATATCAATAGATTGACCTTAAACTAATTCACATTAATTGCTTTAATGGGTTCATCTTAAATGATTCTTTCATATCTGCTGGTGTAATAACATTGAGATTAATCCAAACGTTGCATTAAATTGCTCTTTTTGTGTCATCATAACACTGTTCTAACATTTTCCTGGAGGTTGACTGGCCGATGACGCTATACTTAATTGAGCTTTTAATTGAGCAGTGATACGATTTAGGGTATATGTTTTTCACTATCGCTTAGTTCCTGTTGTGATGATGTTCAACTGACTACTTGATCCAGTTTTCCTGTCGTTGACCTCTCCTATGCTGGGGAGTTACCATGTTTGGTTTTAAGACTTTCCAACAGTTTACAATATATATATTACGATAAAACCCTTTGGAAAACAAGCATCCTTCATCCATTATCGTATCATGACTGACAGTGATCTCCGGGTAATCACGGTAAGTACGGAAGCGATGCCAGCAATAATCACGTAATCCTATATCCTCTCTGTCAGCCTGATCAGTGTCGCTACTCCCACCTGGAAATAGCCTGGTGTCTGATCCATCGTGGTTTGGACGGTCTCTCTCCGCCTGTTGACGTTCTTTAGCCTCTACCAGGCTTCGCGAGGCAGCTGGAAAGAGTAGAAATTTGCCAAATAGGGAGATATTACAGTTAAGTAAGTGCCCAGTTTGCGACAAACTGTACTTTCTAGCGGCATGTTATCTCTATCTCTTTCCAGCCGCCTCCCGAAGCCTGGTAGAGACCAGACGTTCCCACCGCCAGGACCTTATCACATATTGAATCTGAGATAGCCATGAGCCTGTTAAGTATACAGACATGTATATTAGCTGATATTTATTATCGTGGGCTCGATCGTGATCTTTCTGATTCAATAAAACAATAAAAAAACTAACGAAACAATTTCATTAAAAAACTGTTCAAAACAGTATTAAATTTATGTAAAATCAACTGCCGTGGCGCTGGCATTAATTCAAAGGGTTGTGTTAAAGTTCAAGTTCTAAGGTTAATAAGTAGTTCAGTGTAAGTCCGCTCCGTGTATCTCTCCATCAGACTCAATCAACTAAAAACTTAGTAAAGTCGTAGGCTAGATACGTTATATCAGCAGTTCATACGGTCAAAGACCTGTGCTGAGCTGGCGAAGCTAGCGATGTGAATCATTAATCTTCTGAGTACCTTATGTTGTGGGCGGGGATGATGTTACAGCTGATTGGTAAGCCACGATCGAGCATCATAGAGGGTCATTAGATACTTGTAACCCATGCACTACCTTATAGGGTAATGTCTTGTCATACATCGAGCTTGAACATAAGGCCACAGCAAGTAATTTTTATGGATGACATGAGCGCGCGCATTAATTTTCGTCTGCTGATTTTGAAAAAAAAACAGTGGTCAACATGTCGAAAATGCTCAAATATGTCTGTTGCCATGCCAGAGAGGAGACGAGTACAAGGCTCTGATTTATTGCTTTGTCTTTTACTTTTACTTTCCTTTTATAGGTAATGTTCACTGAATCAAAACAATTTGTACAATATGATTGAAAACTTTTATTTTTCAGAGACTAAATGGATGTTATAATAATTGGCATGTTATAATAGATGTCATTTCTTGTTTAAGATGTTTGTGATGTCGAAATTTTTTTGGCCCGTCTTGTTTTTTTTTCGCCCTATCGCAGAGTCTGCGGATGATGTCATCGATAAAATTTACTTGCCGTGGCCTAATTGCAAAGTTCCTCTAAAATTCAAAACTATTATGAGGTGATGTCTTTAAGATTGATCATTGTGTTTATTGACGTATCTTTTACAACACGCAGGTAGCGCAGACTCGTGGGTACATGTAACCCCCGCTGAGCTGCGGCCTAGAGAGGGCCCCTATCCCGGGTGCGTGACCGCCGCCGTGGCCTCCTGTGCGGGCCGCTGTGGGGAGGGCTTCTCTCCGGGGGACGACAAGATGTGCCTGTGTGATCTGGACTGCCGACACTTCCGAGACTGCTGCCTGGACTATGGCGAACTCTGCACCGAGAGTTGGCACAGGGATTCTAAGCGAGGTATCTAGATCTAGACCTCTCAGGAGTTGCTATATCTTTCCGCGAAAGGACACGAAAACAGTATGCCTTTTTTGAGGACTTTTCATTAATCAAATACAGACAAAAACAGACAGTAAAGAACTGTTAACATAACTGAGTCATCTGTTAATGAACTTTTGTAACCTAGGATATCCATTTGTTTACACGTGTCTCTTTCTTCCATCTTCCAACAGAGCGGCGACCCGTCGTCACGGAGACCTCTTGTTCCAACCGTTGCTATTCAGACAACTCCATCAGTGCGACATCTTGCGACTGCTTTCGAACTGCAGCCGACGCAGCACCTGTTGCAGCGACTTCGCTCAGGAGTGCTCCAACCGGCAGCAAACACCTCCGGACCCAGTCCATCGGGCAGTCCGACCGGCCCCGTACGAGTGTCGGCCCAGCGGGAACACCGGCACCTTCCACTGGATGGTGGCGAGCTGCCCGGCAGCGTGGCGCGACGCTAACGTCAGAAGTCAGTGCGGGAAGATTCAACTTGTTTCTGCTGCTGAGGGCTTTACAGGGGTGAATCTCACCATAGAAGATGCTGTGTACATCACTCCTGTGGTAGACGCGGTCTCCTTGACGACATATTCCAACGTTTTCTGTGCTTTGTGTAACGGGGCGTCGCACATGCTTGAGAGCTGGCAACTAGAGGTTCAAATGTCCTGCGATAACTCGTCTGCACCACGCGATTTACAAAGCCTAAGAGATGGGTTGTGTCAGGCGTTTCTGTTCCATTTCAAACCCCCTCAATCATTTGATGCTCGGCGCTGCGTGCCGAGTGACCATGTGTCTCTCGGGCCGACTTGTCCCGTGGACCCCTCCTCCGGCCTGGTGGCGTATGTCCACAGCGACTCTGTTCACAAATGTTACCGTAACGTGTTCAGCGCGCTTTGCCATGGTATAGATGTGTCCGATCTAGAGTGTGGGCTGCTCGTTGCACATTTCTTGCCGGAAGAACACCAACCTCATTTTATCTTGAATAATTTGAATCTTGGCCAGCTGTTTAATTTCGGCAGTTTGCTCCACGGCCCTGATAGGCCAGATACAGTCGAAGAAGCAGCCCGCTGTCCCCCGAGTAGCTTCTATGACCCGATCACCGACGCTTGCCGTAGGTTGTACCGCTCTCCACCTAACCTGATGCACCCTGACGAACCATCAGACTGGTGTAGTAATGACTCCGTACCCTACAACATTTCCCAGGTATCCCCCCAGCCCAGCGGCGATGTTGTGCTTTTGGGCGTATCAGACAACCTGACTTGTAACGCGACGGAGTATCTCATCGTGGAGAACCAGGCTTACGTTTGTAAGTCGTGCTTACGTCGTTACGACTCTGGTACCGGTATAGACGCTAAAGATTTGTACTCGCAGACACTGCTGACGACCACCATGCTCAGTCTGTCCATTGCCTCGGGAATCGGCTTCATCGCTCACGGTGTGTACTATAGAAAGTTCTCTTCTACTCCGGACAGGCTTAAGCTGCAGCTTGTCGTCATGCTCACCCTGGCCGAGTGCCTCTTCATTTCCCGCTCTTTCCTCGCTGATCTCGAGCGTTTCTGCACCACTGCCGCCATCCTCCTGCACTACTGTCTTCTCGCAACTTTCCTCTCGATGTCGTCGCTTGCGTTTGATCTGTTTAGGAAGCTCTGCTGTGCCCAGTTCAGCAGCTATGGGGTCCCGTACCGCCGCTATGCTGTGTTCAGCTTCGGGCTGCCCCTGGTCCTGGTCAGCGTGTGTGCTTTCCTGGATTTTTCTCCGTGGACAGAGGCATTCCGTGTAGGGTACGGTGGGCAGAGGTGCTGGATTGACAATGATTGGGCTTCTCTCTTAGCGTTTGGTGTGGTGGTAGGGCTGGTCGTTCTTTCCAACGCTTATTTCTTGGTGTGGATCGTCGTATCCCTGTACCGCTCGGGCCGTGAGACGGCTGCGGCACGCACGGGGGCGGAGATTGCCCTGATGCGGGTTTGCTTCCGCATCACCAGCCTGATGGGGCTGACCTGGGCGCTGGGTTTGGTGGCTCCGTTCGTGGATAACGCCGTCCTGTGGTTGGTGTTCACGGGGATGAACAGCGCCCAGGGGCTGCTCATTGTCATCGCTCTTACCGTGAAGAACTGCAAGGCCTGCGGTTCGAAATCCGAGCTGTCGGAAACTGGGAAGGGAAGCCTGGGGTCGAGTGAGAAGGGTAGGCTGTACCATGTCACCGTCCGCCAGGAGGGGTGCCCTAACATCAGCAACAATATCACCAAGCTGTAAACCAACCATTCGAGCATGCACTGTTTCGGCATGTCAACATACGTACGTGTATGATTAGAGGTCTTCATGACATTGTGATTCATAGTGAAAAAGGAAACAGAGTCTAGAATTACGATGACGGGGAAGTGTCAGGAAGAATAAGTGTATTACATATATTGAAAGAGTATTATATGCCCTCTAAAACCCAGCTTAGAAACAAAATAAACTATACGCCATGTGTGTAGACCAAGGACATTGTGAAGTTAGGAGCCTTTACCGAGGAAGAAAACATGGGAATTGTACAGTACTCCATTCAGGTAGTATGAATTGAAGTAATGTGTCAGGAATTCTAACTTATTAGAATAAGATTGATTTGCGAAAGAGTTATCCTTTAAATTGAATGTGATCTTGTTGAGACAATTGTCAATATTGTAGATGTTGTATTACTGCATATCCATAGTTGTTCTCATACATGTAAACTAAAACTGGGCTGTTTGCGAAAATAAAGTTTGCCTATTACGTAAACATGTCTGATGAAAAGTAGCATTTTTCACACCAGTGTAATCCTTGTACACTACATACGATATTAGTATAGTTTATATTCGCACAGAATTACAACATGGCGCTGCTTCAATAAATATGTTTATAGAGGCTTCCGCGGGTATAATTCTTAACTTCCAATCGACGAACGATCTAATGCCCTACCAAGACACCAACATTTCAAAACCTCTCACAGAAGAGAACAAGACCAGTTTAACGTAGCAATCGGTAGCCATCCGTGCTCTTAGTACGTCGGCAGAATGTGAGTATCTATGCGAAACTCAGATTTTTACGGTTTTCGTTTGTTTGGGCAACGATGCAGAAGAATTTTGCCCGTTGCAGATGATATCATTTCCGACACAAGATTTGACAACTATAGACGGGATGTCATCCTTACTTACGACATAATGTATAATTCATTACGAGTTTCGCGCAGGCGTGGTGCGTTCTACCGACGTCGTGGTACTCTTCAAGTGCCCCATAGTTATAATGACTGGTCCTGGCGCCATGTCTCACACACGGACCAATTAAAAAAAACAGGATCTCCCTTATTTTACAACACCGGCCATATCTGTGATTAGTGATGGATGATCCGGACGGTTGCCAGTGACGTCATATCTCTTATTACTCAGATCAACATGTCCACAACCTGTGCGAATTAGGGAAGTCATTAAGATACCGCCATCGTGGGATTAGATTTAACACAAATATTGACACCAGGACATGTTGACCCAACAAAGGAGTCATCGTGCTACTGTACTTTTTTTATGTGAAAACACTCGAAAGACCATTTTCTTCAGGAATGGCGGGTACCTGTGCCACTATAAACTCTATTGGCATAGTTAGCACACGATCCTTCGTAATAGTTTGACATAAGGAACAGCTCTACTCTCAAACGGTCCGGTGCGTAATGTGTACATAACCTCGGCAGTTTTATTACCTGGTCATGTGAACTACTGAGGTTACCAGTAATTTACCAGCACCTTTAATAAACAGGTGAACGATAAGAGGCTAAGGCGGGGTCAACGTTTTTATGACAAGCCCGATAATTGCTAAGCAGTGTGTCAGAAATCAGAGGGTAGTTTGTTTTATGACGCGTTAGAAACCACGTCCTGACGCATTCTTGCACGTAGGTTCACATACCTACATGTATGTGGTTAATAGGCAGAGATTGTTTTCAATTCACGCCAAGCGTAGAGTCTATGAACTTGTACTGCTGTTGTGTTGGTCATCATGAGGTTTGCATCATCCATCCTTCTTTTGTTCTCATGGTTCGCCCTTGCCGCCGCTGCAAGTAAGTACGGCCTTTATATCCCAAACCCCGGTGGCATTAAGTATCTTTTATTGGCCCATCTGCGAAGTGTTTTCTGAAGCCCTTCAGATTCTTGAGTATCTTAAGCTGTTTGGCAAAGGGAGGTATGCCTTACTTATTTCTTAGATCCTACTTCATTAAGACTGGACTGCCAATGATGACTTCATAATTGATGAAGATTACATATGCATCAACTGTAGAACAAGAGTGTTCCAGTCATCCTCATCGATGCCTGTTCTGTTGCCTCTTACGTTTGCACTTCTACTTGATTGACTCCTTCATATTTCTTGGTGTGACATTATGATTTGCAATGAGTAGCTGTCAATTTGTCTACGTCTTGGTTATAGAACGAAAGCAACCGGGACTGTACAAACCTTGCCAGTGTATGATGATTAGAAGGGTCAGTACAGTCAGCTTGTATAAGGCGGTTGTTGTTTTTATTTTGTCACCGTAAGATAATGTTTGGATTAAAAACCTTTCTTGTATCTTAAGATTATGTTTGCCACAATGGTTTGTCTAGTGACCAGGTCCATAAAATAATACCAAGACATTCCAAGGCGTTTCTTCTCACCCACTGAGCATTTGAGACCGCCATTACCGTGAAATTTTATGACGTTCTAAACAGGCCCATAAAAAGATAAAATTGCGATATTTTTATGTTTGTCCAAGTGACCATTGCACATCTCCATAGGCTAATTTGATTAATACAAAATAAAATGATGGCATGATTATTACCTCTTGGCATGACATATACATAAAATACTATTAATATTAATTGCGATTGACAATTGTGGTCAGGTTAAGTTTTGCTGGTCTGGCTCACGTTCTGATCTTCCCTCTCTATGGACCTCAATAGTTGACCTTGACACTGCTGGACAGTACAAGTGTTCCTTTGACGATAGTGTCTGTGATGACTGGACAGTAGAGGGTCCTGTCAACCACGGAGGACCCGCGGGATGTGATCATGGCTGGCCTAATGATGCGCTTACTGGCGCTACTGGTGAGCTTATTTGTCTTTTTATTTCTCTCCATGAATAGTACCTGGGTTTTCTTTTGCCCTGCCAATATATATACAGCCAGCAATATTTCATTGAACTGGTTATGCACAACACATGCAAGTAGTCTTAGCTAGCTTTTTTTTTGTTTTAACGTACATGAACGTTGACAAATTCTGTCAAATCTACTCTATTATAGGTTACTATTTTATGTAATTGTTACCGGATGTTAAAGCTTCTGTAACTCTCCTCTAGCCCCCGGTGCGTACGTGTGTTTCTTCTTGGAGAGCCTGCCCTCTCAGTATCCAGATCTAGGCCGAGCCCGGCTCACCAGTCCCACCATCAATGTAACTCAGCACGTGGTGTTGGGTTTCTCTGTGGGCACCGTGAGGCCACCGACCTCCACATACCTCAGAGTCCTCCTGGTGAACGAGACCGGTACCAATGGTACTGAAACACTGATGTGTTCAACCTCAGACCTCCTGTTACCATTCCAGCGAATATACGTCGGTATTGTACAGCCTGGACCTTACAAGGTGAGTATTTATATAGTTTTATAGTTCCCATTGTTAAGTGTCATATATTGGAATATCCATATGATCTAGCTGCCTTTTGGATGGAGTGGGTACTAACTTCTTTTGCAGTTTACAGTAGTCTATATGAACTTTGGGTTTGACCAATTCCCGTCCACTGTTTCAGATTGTGATTGAAGGTATTCCGGATCCTCCCTTCTATCCGAACTTTGGTATCGACGAGTTGACACTGACGGCTGTTCAAAATGGTGAGTATCAACTTGCTATTTCAAAACTTTTCATATCGAATTCAGATTCTGGCAACTATGGTAATACCATTTCTTCATTACCATTTTTGACGCATTTCAGTGCATTAATTACTATTTCATTATCATATACCCAGACGACGTCGACCCATCAAAAGACTCCATTTCCCCCCAACCCAGGTCATTAATATCCGATATACATGTACTACCCACTTTTTAAACCGATCACGCGTTATTTCCAATGAAACAAATGGAAAAAAATATGTTCTGTTCCAGTTACTGCCGATTCAATGTGAACGAGTCAAAAGGACACACAGCATTGCACATGATAGTTTAGTTCACGAAACGTAAAATACTTACAGGGTATTTAATAGTAAAGTTAATGAACCGCATTCGTCGGTGTGTACGGCGTAATAATTCATGGTCGTTTCCTATAACCACTGAATAAACGACCAAGTTATACACTACTGAATCTTTATCTTTCAGCTACGGCAAACGTTGGCGTACAATCAACTACATGTTCCACTGAGCTGGTCACCACACCCCGTATGACAACTCGCCAATACAAAACCACACTCCCTATGACCAGTAGTCAGGAAGACACAACAATGTCTATGACGAGTAGTCAATATACAACCACACTGTCCGTCACGAGTAGTCAAGACACGAACACACATCCCGTGACGACTATCCAAGATACGACCACACAGCCCATGACGAGTAGCCAAGATACGACCACACAGCCCATGACGAGTAAGTACAAATAAAAGTTTGGAAGGACCAGTTATACGTATATTGGACGATTGTTTTAAGTTTTGTGTCCATAATATGATAATTGGATTAAACATTTCCTTGCATCTTCAGACCCCGTATGCCATGATATTTTGTTTTCTAATGATCACGATTGTTAAAGTAAATTAAGCTATAAAGCGGCTCATCCCAAAGGCGTATGTTTCACTAAGCACTTCCTATGTTACCAAGAAGGTTTATGACGTGCAAATCAGCCCCATAAAAAGATGAGATTACGATATTTTGATGCTTGTCCAAGTAGCAATAGCACATCTCCATTAGATATATTTGATATTTCACAAATGAATCATGGCATAACTAATACCAGGTACTCCTATATACATGAAATACCATGTTTATTGCTATTGCTAAACCAGGTTAAGTTTTGCTGCTTTGACTCACTTCTGACCTTCCCACTCTGTGGACCGTAATAGTTGACCTTGACACCGCTGGACAGTACAGATGTTCACTTGACACTAGTCTCTGTGACTGGACAATAGAAGGTCCGGTCTACCACGGAGGACCCGCAGGATGTGATCACGGCTGGCCAAATGAAACACTTCATGGCGCTACCGGTGAGCTTATTCACCTTGTTTTGGCTATGAACGGTGCCATGATATCCAAGGGATACTTTTGTCCTACCTATTTGCATAAAGTCAGCAATGTCAAGGTGGGCTTAAAATGATTGATTTTAATATAATGAATAAAGCTCTAAAAGCTATATGGAGCAAAAGATTTATAACTGACCCGTCAAAAGAAAAAGAATACTTGTTTGCAGGATGGGGAGGCTTCTTGTTGTTCCGATGTAATTACTCCACTTCACTGTTAAATCTCAATGACATGCCACCATTCTACAAAGATATTGTAACTGCCTGGGAAGAAATTATCCATTATGAACCAAAAACACACAGACAGATATGCTCACAAGTCCTGTGGAATAATAGGTATATTTCAGTCGAGAATGTACCAGTGTTTTACAAAAGCTGGATAGATGCTGGCATTATTTGTGTAAATGATTTGTTGTATGGGGATGGATCATTTCTAACAATCAATGACTTACATAATCTATATGGTATAACCATGGATTCAAAGCAAATAATGAAATACAATTCTATAAGAGTAGCCATACCTAAAAAGTGGAAAGATTTAATTAAAAACAATGGAAGAAAATGTACCCCTAACAACATTATTGAATATACCGAAAAGATACATCCCTTAACAACAACATGCAAACAATTATATGATATTCTTATTCAGAAACAAGTTGTGCCTCCAAGTAGAGAAACAGAAATTATACACAAAATTGGTAAAGACAACATCGAGAGAGCCTATACTGCTGCTTTTGTCGCTACAAGGGAATCCAAATTACAATGCTTTCAGTATAAGATTATCCATCACTACCTGGCTACAAATAGCTGGCTAAGAAAAGTAAATCTGGTACAAACGGATCGATGTAACAATTACACAGATAAGCACACTATCGAACATTTATTCTTGTAAAATGATTGTAAAGAAGCAAAAAACATTTGGAAAGAGTTCTGTTACTGGTGGAAACGATGTACCATGAAACAAGACCTAATTGTAGACGAGAAGATGATTATTTACGGTATAATTGACAACCCTCGCCATGTTAGTGCACTTGCACACTGTCTTCTTATCGCTCAATATTGTATATACACGTTTCATAACAAACTGTAAACCAAAACTCTCAATCTTCAAGCACAGACTAAATCAAATTATAGAAATAGACGATAATGAACAATGGGAACATTTTATGTGATATCATTATATATAGACAATCCTCAGATAACGTTACCTTAAAAAACTGTCCTTGATGTATCATCCCACACGATTGTACATATATGTCAACTATGTATATCTTTTTAATGTAACATTGTGAATATTAATAAAGTTTGAAAATTGAAAAAAATAAAAAAAATAAAATATAAAGTCAGCAATGATCTAATGAGCTACGTGGTATATATATCACTGGTTATGTAAGTAATCGTAGCTTGCTTTCTTTAACTTACCTTAACGTAAGCAAGTATGCAATCTGGACAATGTGTTGTCAAATGTACTCAATTCCATGCTACTATTTGATGTATAATTGTTACAAGATGTAACAAATAGTCTAACATGGGTTCTGTAACGCTCTTTCAGCTCCCGGTATGTACGTGTGCTTCTACTTGGAGAACCTGCCCTCCCAGTTTCCAGGTGCTGGCCGAGCCCGGCTCATTAGTCCCACCATCACTGTTACTCAGCACGTGGTGTTGGGTTTCTCTGTTGGCACCGTGAGGCCGCCGACCTCCACATACCTCAGAGTCCTCCTGGTGAACGAGACCGGTACCAATGGTACGGAGACTCTGCTGTGTTCGACCTCTGACCTCCTGTCTCCATTTCAACGATTATACGTCGGGATTGTGGAGCCCGGGCCTTACAGGGTGAGTGTTTGATTAGAATTTTTGTAGTTTTTTTTTATTGCTAAGTGCCTTATATTGAAATACCCATGTGGCATTTTGGGGGGAAGGGGTGCTGGGGGTAGAAGTAAGCTTACTTTATTTTGTTTGGATAATTGCATATAGATAGTAATTAAAATGTAATGTTTTAATCAATTTCCGTCTGCTGTTTCAGATTGTGATTGAGGGTATTCCGGATCCTCCCTTCTATCCAAACTTTGGTATGGACGAGTTGACCCTCACTGCTGTTGAAAATGGTAAGTATCATGTTGATATTGAAAAAAGCACAGGAAATCTGAGAGTTTGAGACGACCTTAAGCAAATGCACCTTTATACTTAGTTGTATGTTTTCATCTGCAGGGGGTGGCAATACCATTCACTGCCGACTCTTACTGTTTCAGCTACTGCGAACGTGGTCGTACAAACAACTACATGTTCCACTGAGCTGGTCACCACACCCCGTATGACAACTCGCCAATACAACACCACACTCCCTATGACCAGTAGTCAAGATGACACCACAATGCCAGCTGCTGTTAGTCAGATAACGACGACATTTTCCCAGACCAGCAGTCAGCAGCCCATGACCATAAGTAAAAACACACCCACAACCATCCTCCCCACGACCGATAGCCAAGTTGACACGAGTAGCCAAGATACGGCCGTATTGCCCACGACCAGTCGTCCTGATAGTGATACGACCATATTGCCCATGACGAGTAGCAAAGATACGACCGTATTGCCCATGACGAGTAGCAAAGATACGACCGTATTGCCCAAGACCAGTAGTCATGATACGACCATATTGCCCATGACAGATAGCCAGGATACGACCGTATTGCCCATGACAGGCAGTCAAGATACGACTGTATTGTCTAAGACGAGTAGCCATGATACGACCATAATGGCCATGACGAGTAGTCAGGATACAGCCACACTGCCCATTACTACTAGTCAGGATACAACACACAAGGCAACGTACCCCTGAAGTAACAACCAAACGCCCAATCCCTCCTAAGACACCACTGACCACATCTAAATCTGAAGACGTAACAACGAAATTTCTACCCACCACCTCGACGTCAAAGGAAGGGCAGCTTGGTCAGCAGAGCGGACGGAACGACACGCCGGATATCACCGCCGTCCCCATAGTGCTGGGAATAGCGGGGTTTCTCCTGGTAGCGGGAGGGGGCATGTTCTATCTCAGAAAGATGCGAAACAAGAAGTCCAATTTCTCCGTGGAAGAGTCGCGAAGGGCATCGAGAATGAGCTTCAGTCAGACCGAGTTAACCCAGCTCTAGATTTAGATGTCGGAGTAGAGGCTCCGATAAGGTAGAATCGGTGGTTCTTCCAGTAGTGATCCCGATCGGAGTCTCTGTCAACAGAAAGTTCGATCGCGGTCTCCTCTTCTGAGCTAAGGTCCGTTCATCTATATGGCTATCTGTAATAACGAGTGTACGTACCATCATCAGTTACGTTTACCAGTTTATAAATCAATTCATCATCATCATCATCTGTCGACACCCTGGCTGGGGGACGGGGCAAGCTCCTGCACAACACGACGCCACAAAGTACGATCTTCCATTGCAGCTGGAAGGTCTTGTTGTTGTAATCCTGTGTCCCTTGTAAGAGTAGCTGGATATGTGAGTTTTCTGGAGTGAGTCTTGCCATGTGGTTTCCACAGGAGGAGTGATGAGATGACTTCTTCTTTTGCACGATGGCAGTGTCCCGCAAATTTTACACGTCTATGTTTTAATCTGAGTGATACTAGGGGAAGGCTTCCATATATATTCTTTCTCGTTGGATGTTGCTTCCAGTTGATGTTCTGTGCCTTCCTGAGAAGTTAATCAATTAGTCCATCTCAACATCAATGCGCTTATCTATCTAGTACCTAGATTAAGTAGACAGCTCTTCTAATAGCCCAAACTCGCATGCCAAGTGTCAGCTGTAGTTCATATATTCTATATTTGCACAGAATAAAGATTTCCATAAATTTCTGATCGGTGAAATAATGTGGAGTTAATTTTGAACTTAATCAAAACAACATCACAGACTGGAACAGCCTAAATTGTGTAGTAATTTACAACTGTTTCTAACATGTAATGATCTCAGCACTAAATGATTGACTGCATGTTAATGTTAACATAGTTACTTCGTTTATCTTTACATCCGATAATGATATAAATCATTAAAGTAAAGTATGCATTAAAATAAAGTGCAAGACACGTTAAAGGTTAATAAAACTTTTCTGCCGAGGTGAGAATCTTGAAAGTCTACAGTGTCCTTTTACTGCTGAATGAGAGCTCTAGGGATAACACGACTGCCTGTGTTTCTCAGTACAGCTGAGTGGGATCTTGTGGATGGATGTACGTCGGCGTAGTTGGTAGGTTGTGTCTTCTGAGGGCTCGAAGAACTGTTGACACACATTAAAGATATAATGAAACCAATCTAACAATAGTTTAAATACACATGGAAAGCGGCACGTATTACTGAAAGTTCCTGACGGTGTCTTTCGCCTCTGTAGTTTACAACCCCTGCTGCCCTCGCCGATGTGATTTAATGCATGTATGGATTTATGGTATGTATGCATTTATGGCAACAATGATGATGAGTTTATGGTCTTAACTGTGTCAAGAATGAAAATAACCTGAATGTACTTAGCACCACACACGGCCTACTTGGGATGCAACTGAACAGAATAATCACTGACGTGATTGTTCTAAAACATGATTAGATTTGTTTTCGCTTGTTCTTGTCTGAATCGTAACGTTTCGAACCGACCTCAAACAGTTTGAAATCTGGAGCCCAGACAACATTTCCTTCAATTCATCAAACGGCCCGACACGTTACGTGTGATTTCTACGTTTTAATCAGTTCGGTAGGTAAATCATTCGATCTACTTGTAAGTTGCCGTCGTTTTCAATGGATCATTTGAAGATAAGAGTACAGAGGCTCTGTTAAGGTTTATAGCTCTGATAACTGCTAAGCAAGTTGCCAACGCCAGTGTGTGTTATTGTTATGACCTATTAGCAACCTTACTAAATCAGAGGTATCACAAGGTGCACCACGATTTTCGCCATGGCCATGATGAAACTTACACCGCCGTTCTTTCTCTTGTTTCCGTGGTTTGTCTTCGCTTCAGCTACAAGTAAGTAAAACCCATATCATCTGTTTCTTCCTCAACGGAAAGTCTCTTGGTTATGTGAGTTGCTTGGACTTTGTGTAAGGAAACTTTACGATCCGTCGTATTCCAATTCTATAAATTGACTCGTACTCGTGCTTGTTATTTATGTTAGTTTGTTGATTACATGTATATACATATTTGTGAATGCCTATGGACCCAAACAAGGGCACATCGGAAAGTAGACGATAAACGATAATCAATGTGCAACTTTACAAAGTCAGCTGGTTGAGAAATGAACTGCACTGAAGTCTATTTCTGTAGGTTGACTGATTTGATGCCACGTTTAGGTATTGCCAGATAGTTCAGATCCTAACATAGTCTTTTCCTTCCTCTATATTAGTCGATCTCGATATTGCTGACCTGTACAGATGCTCGTTTGACGCTAATGTCTGTGGCTGGACCATAGAAGGTCCGGTCTACCACGGAGGACCAGCTGGATGTGATCACGGCTGGCCGAATGATGCACTACATGGTGCTACTGGTATGTGGCCCAATAATCGATGAACTCACATACATGAACCAGTGACGGAAGTTGTATGCCGTTTTATTCCCTATTCCGTTACATGTAACTATTGACGCAATCTAAAGAAAATAAGACGCAGACGATTTTGGACCGTTTTAAACGTTTTAAGAAGACAGGGTTTTTTAGGGCCCATAATATACTTAGAACCTTAGAACAATGTGATAATTCATGGCTGGCCTTGAGTTTACGAACTAGCAGACGAATAGGTAGCAAAGACCGGGCATGTTCCGTGAGTGGCTTGTCTGTATTTTCACATATTGCCCGATGACCATTTGGCGATTCAAAATTGGATCATTTTCGGCGTTCTTTATAGAAAGTTTATTGCAAATACATGCCCGAGGGCTAATTGCAGTTACAAACAACATAAGAAAGAAAATACAGTGGTATGTGAGACTATATCTACGTCTAGCATTATACTATATTCTACAACATGCATAGTACTAGATTTACTGGGTTTGACTTCTTCTTTTTAGGCAGTGGAAGACGAATTTACCCACTTCTTCTATAATATGTGGGTTCTTTGATTTTAGTAGTAAAAATGTTTTTTTGTGGTAGGGAACGGTGGGGAAGTAAGGGAGTATTTTGGACACGGTGCTAAATAATTGTTTTCTGGTGTGGTCATAAAATGGACAGTTAGAGATGAAATGAATTTCGTCTTCCACTGCATTTGAGGAGCAATATTTACAAATTCTCTCCGACACAGGCAGTTTCATATATCGCCCTTTTTCGATTTCCAGGGGGTGGGCACTGATTCTAATTTTACTAATAGCGGAGCGCTGCTCGAAGTCACAGTGTTCTAGGTATTGTTCTAGACAGTATTCAGTTTTACATTTTCTATAGAATCT